AAATCACCTAGGGATCAAAGATGAAATTCACAAGGAAAATTAAGAAATACTTTGAGATAAATGAAAACAAAAACACAACATAAAATGTATAAGATGCAGCTAAAGCAGTGCTAAGTGGCAGATTTGTTGCTGATAATGCCTGTATTATAAAGGAATATCTTAACATTCTTCTTTTCTCATACTGAAAGTTTAGCTATATAAGCTAACAAGCTAACAAGCTATACAAGCTAACTTTTCAGTATGAGAAGCAAAAATGGAGCAAACTAAACCCAAAGAAAGCAGAAGGAAAGAAATAATGTAGAGCAGAAAGAAACTAAAAATTTGAAAAACAATAAACATTTTAATGAACCCCCAAATTTATTCTTTGAAAAGACCAACAACATTGGCAGATGTCTAGCTAACCTGCTCATGAAAAAAAGATTCGAATTACTAACATTAGTAATGAAAGAGAGCACTTTACTATTACCTTATAAAAATGAAAAGGACTCTAAGTGAATACCATCAACAATTGTATGTTAACAAATTAGATCACCTGTGTGACATGAACAAATTTCTGGATAGATAGAAACTACTAAAACTAACTCAAGAAGAAATACAGGGTGGGCAAAAGTAGGCGTACAGTTGTGAGTACACGGAACAGTTTATTCTTATATTATTTATTAATTACACATTGTTTATTTGTATTACAACTGTAAACCTACTTTTGCTAACCCCTGTGTAAATTCTCAATAGACCTATAACAAATAAAGTGATTGAATTAGTAATTTTAAAAAACTTCCCACAAAGAAAGGCCCAAGACCAGAAAGCTTTACTTGTGAATTCTATCAAATGTTTAAAGAACTTTTAATATAAAACTTTCTCAAAAGATTCAGAAAAAAAAGTAGAGGAAATACTTCAAAAAACATTCTATGAGGACAATATTTCCATAATTACAAAACCAGACAAAGCTATCACAAAACTAACATCCCTTATGAATGGCGACACAAAAAATGTTTAAGTACATACCTAATACAGCAACATACATAAAAGATTATACAATACATTATAACTGTTTGGGGTTTATTTAAGGAGTGCAAGATTGGTTCAACAGATGAAAATCAATCTAATATACTGTATTAGTGGAATAAAAAAGAAAAGCCATGTGGTTATTTTAGTAAACATAGGTAGAGCATTTTCCAAAATGTAGTGCTATTTTATGATTTAAAAAGAAAAAATAAGCTAGGAATAAAAAGGAATTTCCTTAATCTGAAAATGAGCATTTATGAAAAACTCAGAGCTAACATGTAGTGCGTGATGGTGATAAACACACAGCTGTCCCCTAGATTAGGAACAAGACAAAAGTGTCTGCTCTTGCTACTTTTATATCAGTATTGAAGATTTAGCCAGGGTAATTAGAAAAGAAAAAGACAGAAAACATATTAGGATCAGAAAGGAGTAAGTAAAATGATCTCTGTTTACAGAAGGCCTGATTTTGTAAACTGAAAATCCTAAGGAATTTACAAAAGAAAAAAAAAAACTAGAATCTAAAAAGCAAATTCAGCAAGGCTATAGAATTCAACATACAAGATCAATTGTATTTTTGTACTAACAATGGACAGTATGAAAATGAAATTAATTTCATTTACAAGAGCATCAGAAATTCCAAGCTACTTAAGAATGAGTTTAACAAAATTACTGTATTTTTCAGACTATAAGACATGCCCCCCCCCCCCCAATTTGGGAGGAATAATGGTGGTTAATGCCGCTGTTGAGTTCTGTTTACATTTACATTGGTGAAATATTATGTTATTTATGTTATTAACTTTTTACCACATTTTTTGCTCAAAATTTTTTCCTATTTTTCTCCTCTAAAACCTAGATGTGTCTTATGGTCCGAAAAATGTGGTAGGTCAAGTCATTAACATTGAAAACTATAAAACATTACTGAAAGAAACAAGTAGAGAGGTAACCCCTGGTCATGGACTGGAGCACAGTGTTAGAGTGGCATGCTCTCCAACGTGGTCTTCTCATTCATCACATTCATTATCCAAATCCCAGCTGCACCCCTGCCCCGACACACAAACACCAGAAAGTGACACGCCAATCCTGAAATTCATGTTGAAATGCAAATGACCTAGAATAGCTACCATGAAACACCTAATTTAATCTGATACGCTTGATAAAGATTGGGAAAATTGAGACTGTCTTTTTAATATAATGTTGTGAAACAGTCTTTTTCATTAAAGTTTCTTTCTGTGCTTTAAATGAATTTTCATGAGAATTTAGAACCACATATTTAGTTTTTCAAATAATAGGAAATACCTGCCAAATAAGTTAATTGGCAAAGCCAGTTCACATTGTTAAAACATTCATCTATCTTTCATGTAAAGTCTGACTGTGTCCTTCCTGCTGATGAAAGAGGTAAGGTTTTTAAACTACATTTATTTTGCACTTTTACTGTAATTAATTAGATTGTATGGGATGAATGAGCTGTTCCATTTTATAAATTAGAAGGGGTATTGTGAAAGGGGAAGTGGAAAGTGATTGCTTTTAAGATACACAGAGGCCCAGAGACATATGAAAGGATGCTCAGCATCACTAGCCATCAGAGTGATGCAAATTAAAACCACAGTGAGGTACTGTTCACACCAGTGGGAATGACCACCATTAACAAATCAACAAACAAGTGCTGGAGAGGATGTGGAGAAAAGGGAACCCTAGTGCACTGTTGGAGGGAATGCAGACTGGTGCAAGCCACTGTAGAAAACAGTATGGAACTTCCTCAAAAAACTAAAAATGAAACTGCCTTTTGACCCAGCAATTCCACTGCTGGAATTATACCCTAAGAATCCTGAAACACCAGTCCAAAAGAACCTATGCATCCCAATGTTCATAGCAGCACAGTTTACGATAGCCAAGTACTGGAAGCAGCCTAAGTGCCCATCAGAAAATGAATGGATCAAAAAACTATGGTACATTTACACAATGGAATTCTATGCAGCAGAAAGAAAGAAGCTCCTAACTTGCGTGATAGCATGGATAGACCCAGAGAGCATTATGTTAAGTGAAATAAGCCAGGTGGTGAAAGACAAATACCATATGATCTCACCTATATATGGAACTTAATCAACAAAACAAGAATAATATAACCAGAGACATTGAAATAAAGAAAAAATTGACAGTAACCAGCGGGGAGGGGAGAGGGGGATAACAGTTGGGAAAGGAGGGGAAGGGTGGTCAAGGAACAAGTATAAAGGACCCATGGACAAAGCCAAAGGGGAGTAGGATTGAGGGTGGGAGGTGGGGGTGGGTAGGGCGGGGTAAAGTAGTAGCAGGAAAATGGAGACAGCTGTACCTGAACAATAAAGAAAATATATACTAAAAAATATATAAATAAATAAATAATATATAATTTTTACTAAAAAAGACACACATAAGTGTGTCTGTTCTCAGGCAGATGTTTTTGAAGTTAAGTTTCTGTATACATACTCCCATTAAACTATCCATGGCTTTGCATTCCTTTTAATGTCTTTTATCTTCAGGAATGTGCTGTCTACCCAGCTTGAGGACTATTCCTCTACCCTACTCTGAGTCTTTTATGAATAAAATAGCCTTGTCTTGCGTGCATTTTATTTGTATGCACGTTGTGTGCTGGGATGCTCTGATGTTGGTGCCCTCAGGTTCCCTTGAACCACACTGCACAGAGAGCCCATGCCTATGCTGCTCGTTTCTACTCCTCGTCCCTCTCCTGTGCTCCCGACAGTTTCTCTTGGTGTCCGGATGGAGCCTCCGAACCTTCCACACCTGGCAGCTCTTGCTAGCTGACTGGAGCTGGTATAGGGGGTGATTCTCTGTGTACTGGTTTTATTAGTTTTCTCAGTCAGCCTATTTGTATCTTTTCTCTTTTTATAGTTTATACTTTCTAATTATATTTTGCTTATTTTTTAAAAGATTTTATTTATTTTTTTAGAGAGAGAGGAAGGGAGGGAGAAAGAGAGGGAGAGAAACATCAGTGTGTGGTTGCCTCCCACGTGGCCCCCACTGGGGATCTGGCCTGCAACCCATGTGTGTACCCTAGACTGGGAATCGAACCAGCGACCCTTTGGTTTGCAGCCTGCACTCAAACCACTGAGCTACACCAGCCAGGGCTACATTTTGTTTATTAATCTGGGTTTTGTTGTTGTTGTTGTTGTTAAACTGATCCTTAAATATGTGTTTACAAACAATTCTCCATGAGGCTCTTCTTGCTTTTCATTTTGTGCAAAGAAGCTTTGGTTGCCTTTGTTCTGGTCTATTTTTTCAAGATTATGTCTGTAGTGAGTAGCTGTGGAGGATATAGTGACTCCAGAGCCAATGGATAAGTTTGTGTTTAGCTTTGGAAGATAAGGGCTGGTTTCTCTCTTTAAGCCAAGGGGTAGACATACTTTCTGCCCATTCCAAAGATTCAGGTTCCCAGAGCTCAGGGATCCTCTCCTGTATCTCACCCTCCACAGGTGCAGCAGTCTGCAAGCCCTCCTCAAGTTGCCCTGGAGCAAGAGAACACTACTCCTTGTAGTAAATTCCCATGCCTCTGACCCAGGAGTCTGCTGGCACTCGGGAGCTTGCGAGAGTCTAAAAATCTCAGATCCTTCACACTTCTTGACCATACATAGGAAATACAATTAAAAAGGCAAATAAATAGCTATCAGAGTTCCACCCAGAAATGTCGTTTTTATCCATGTTTTTCATTAAAAACTAAATTATATATTATTTATATAAATGTAGCACAGATTTTTTCCTTAGGGTTAAACTAAAGGTTTGGCAGAATTTTGCTATTTATTTTAATGACAATTTTTAAAGTATAAAAACCATCTGTTTTTCTTATGCATATAAATTTGTACTGTAGGTATGTATGTATTATATATACACATATATTGGGGTATGTGTGTGTATTCATGTTTCTGAAAAACTGAACCAGTTTTTTGAGAATTAATCTTAATTCCATGTGTATCATTAGGATGTATTATTTGTCTCTATTCCAGAATATTGGAAAGAAGATGACCTGCCAGGAGTTCATTGCAAACCTCCAAGGTGTTAATGAGGGTGCTGATTTCCCCAAGGATCTACTGAAAGTAAGCATTAAGATACTGGTTTCTAAAATATACTTACCTTTATATTTTCTTCTGTGTATATTCCTGTCTGAAACAGGCAGGCTCAGGATCACGATGGTTTTCTGCTTCGGGTTCTGTTCTCGGTGTTTTGATTGGGCCTTGTCCTTGGTGCATCACACTGCACAGTCCCCTTCAATTAGCGGCTCTGAAAAGTCCACATATGATGAGTAATACAGAGATAATGGGTGGATTTGGAGTAATTGCTGATACAAATGGCTGGTGGGCAGCTTTTTGTTCATTTGTAGGCAGACTGTCAGAACTCAAGAGTGATCACAAAGGTGGTATATTCACTATGGAAACAAGAAAGCATTTGCAGACTGGTACTGGAAGCAATTCAGACTAGATTCAGTCACTGGTCACAGCCACTCAGGTTGTCCCTGGAAAATAGGATAAATTAAGTCTGAGTAATTGTAGAATGCCCGAATTGTTTGCATTCAGCTTTTTTATTGGTAACAGTCAGCATGATTTTTCTTATCAGCAGGTTGTTTTCAAGGAAATAGCTTGAAACTCGTAACATTCTACAGCGGCATAAATGAGGTGTGTGTGATCAAGTACAAAATAGCGATTGATAATGGATGCAACTATTTTGTAAGTTTAGGATAAGATGTGTAAGTTGAGAATGTGATTTTTACAGAGTTCTGTTTGTTTCTAGCCTTCTTTTTAAAACCTTTGTACATACGTAGATTTCTTTTGAAAGCAGTTCCTTTGAATGAATTTGCTAAAAACGATGACATATTTGAATCTTGCATAATGTAGAAATGTACCAGTTAAAATATAAGTCCTATATTATGTTTCATGTGACTTTTAAACTATAAAAAATATGTAGAATAGAGTTCTGCAGAATTTGGAAAGTCATATATACTGTGGAAAATGAAAGAAGTTATTAAAATAGGGTACAATGAGATTGTTAGTCTTTCTGACATTAATTGCAGCTTGTTGAAAAATTGTATTATGAAAAAAAGGAAGAAAAATAGCTTCAGCTTACTATATAAGGTATAATTATATAATTTTATTATATAATTTTTATAACTGTGTAATTCTATAATTTTAATATAATTTTATTGAGGTGTAATTGACATACCACATTATACTCGTCTCAGGTGTGTGACATAATGACTATGCTATCTGTTGCACAGCGGTTACAGGAAGTCAAGTTAAACATCTGTCACCATGCATAGTGACAGAATTTTTTTTCCTGTGGTGAGAACTTTTGAGATATACCCTCTCAGCAGCTTTTAAATGTGCACCACAGCATGATTAACTGTGCTCACCATGCTGCACCTCACATCCCGATGACTGGAAGCTTGTAGCTTTGACGCCCTTTGCCCCTTCCGCCCACTCCCCCACCCCCTGCCCCTGGCAACCACCAGTCTGTTAAGGAAGTGTCTTCTAAGTTTTTTCTTTACAGAGCAAATGCTGCCCTTTGTGAGGCTGCAGTTCCAAATGGGATTGGGCAACAAAAGGTCTTGGATTGTGATGTGTTAAATGTGTTCTGTACATTCCTTGGAGCCGTCTTGTCGATACAGGTTAACGAGTCTGTTTTCAGTCGAGCTGTGTTAGCGTGGACAATAATGGAGTCTTTTATGAGAGGATTTGTGAGGCTTTTACCCAGTTATCAGAAATGAAAATCGACAGGAACATTTTTCATGGCGAATCGTTTAGATTTCAGTGGTGAGCTTATGGTAGCGTGTGTGACTGGGAGTAAATTGTTGGACATGTTAGAACACATGGAGTGGGGCTGCCTGGACCCAAAGGCAGCTACCGCCCAGTCCAGGGGCTGCCGCTCACCTCGAGTAAACACACGTTGTTCGAGCTACTCTGCTGAGACCTTGCTGGGTGATCTGTTGCCGTTGCACAGTTGAGATCATGTTCACAAACCTCGGGGGAGAAAATACGCATTATGCTACTCGTTATTTACTGTGGGAAGATGACAGTGAAATGGCACTGAAAAGTGACAGTGGTATTTAGCACGGAAATTATCAAATCAAATATTGATTTTCTGTCACAGCAAAGCTCAGCCAGTCACCGTCCCAACATGAGTTTTTCATTTCAGTAGGAATCGGGATTTTACTGCAGATTTCAGCAAGAAAAGGTTTCCTCCAAACCATTTTTGTTTTATTTTACTCTTCTGTGGCTATTCCTTTTCCCTTTCCTTCCCTCCTTCTCCCTCCTCTCTCCTCTCCTCCCTTTCTCCATTTCTCTGTATTTCTCCTCCCCCCCCCCATTCCTCACTGAAACTAATTATTGGGTGGAATATTAATTTGAATTTTGGGGAACATGATACATATGCCACACAGACAGATGCATACATGCATACAGATAACCACAAAAGTATTATCATCTCATAATCTTACAGTTCTCCCTCTCCAACCTAAAAACTTACATACTTGTACATTAGTTCAATTTATGAAGTAAGATGCTTACTATTACATAGATGGAACTGAGGCTTTTATTGTTACATAATGACCTTATTACTTTCGGATTCCCTTGCATTGGAAGTAACATTTCAACTCGTGGGTGTTGTTCACTGTTTTTATGTGTCCTGTAGTACTTGCTGGAGTCCACTAGATTCATTGGGTGTTTTGGAGTTGGAGAACACGGTGGGACCAAATAGGTTCCTGTCCTCAGAGATCACAAACAACTGAGAAAGACGGAGGGTCTTTCTCCCTTAAAATAAGCAATGACTCCACATTAAAATGAAAGTATAAAGCAAATTCTGCTGGTTCTCAACAGAATTGGTTATAGAAAAAACTTAAATGAAAACTTGTTTAAACCTTTAATTCAGAGACTTGAGTTAATATTTTGCTTTCACTTTGCCATAGGCTATACTGAAGGAATGGATGTGTTGAGCCCTTTTTTAATTTATAATTCCACCAGTTTCCCCTGTCACTTGAATGACCTAAAAAGATATTTGAGTGCTTTATGCGAGTAAGAATTTTTCCCCAGAAGTTGTTTAAAGTATAAGCTATTGATATCTCAGTGAAAAATGGGTAAGTTGGGTATCAAGGACAACCACAGATGGATGATTATTCAGGTTCTTTACTGCTGAAGTCTTGCGGAGGGTGGGGAGTGGTGTCTGATACAGACCTTTGCAGTGTAGGTATAACTTCAGTATGAGACTTGTTTTGACTTTTAACTAGGTTATTATTCCATCTCATCTCCCACCCATAAACATTGATGTTCTCTCTTTCTCATAAGTCCCCCCCACCCCGCCCCGTGACCTCGACACATCAAGACAGTAACTCATTCAATAAAATATGCCAAAATACCTGGCCTGTCTCATGGCTCTATGGGGCCTGCCCATCCCAACACTTGGATGTGGTTTACCTTCAAGCATCATTGGATAAGAAGGGGAATGAGGTGTTCTGCTTTTGATTATGACAGATTTAATAAGACACTCCTAAGACTCTCTGATACATAATAAAACTCTTAAGGACATGAATGTAGAGGGATGGGAATGCAACATGTGGGTCAGTTCTGGGTGGGAGGCCAAACTTCTGAAAGATGGCTGGGTGTGCTTGTGTATTTGGGAGCTATACTGACTGGGTTCTAATCCCAACCCCCTCTCTTATTAGCTGAGGGATGTGAGCAAGTTCATTTAAACTTTGGGTCTTGTTTTCCCCATCTGTGAAATGGGATATTTTATTAGTCCTTGCCCCGCCTAGTTGTTTGAATAGTTACAACTTTTTATTTAATATTAGCGTATTGTTTACCTTGCACAAAGTGGACTGGGAAGGGACTCCATCCCTTCCTGAAGGTATGTGAGCCTAAGGTGTTTACAGCTCCTACGGTCAAGTGTGACTAGTGTCAGCAGACAAGATGTCTGTCCCCTGCCCCTGTTTAGTCTGTGAACACACATTCTCTTGGTCATTAAAGGGAACCACCTGACACCTTGACCTTGAGCATTTCCCTTTTTACAGTAAGATTTTTAATCCTCATCATTTATGCCTCCTTTTTTCCCCCAAAGACTAGTTTGTTCCAAAGAATGTCCATCAAAATCCCCACGAGAGGTGTTTATTCGTAAGGTCTGTCTCAACATTGCATAGGCATCCGAGAATGAACCTTGGCCACCCCTCCCTTTCCCTGGCCTTGTACCTTGTTAGCAACAGTCTCTTTCTCCTGAGTCTCTCTCTCGCGCTGTGTTTTTATATCTTATATTTGGTGTGGGTCTTTGATGCTGCAAAAGTGGAGGTTCTGTGGAGAGTTTGGTTTTAAACCAGCCTTGGACTCTTGAAGAACCTTTGAAGAAGCACATTGGTTCTTGTACTCTTTAGAGACTCCAAGATGATCCTGGGATATTATTGGAGACGTGAATTCCTTGACGTGACTAAATGTCCCTGAGTAAGAGAAATGTTACCAGATGTCTACCTGCTCTCCTGTGTTTCCTCCAGAATGAGAGCCCGAGGTCAGGAAGCTCCAGACGCCGGATTGTTGGTGTTCAGCCTGGTGCCTGCCAACTCCTGACTGTGTTGGCCTGTGGGTCTCTCCTTCCCAGTCCTGTCAGGGGCAGATACCAAGGAACTAGTGAGAGTGTTGGCGTGTCATCATACAGATGTTTTGGAAGCTCTTTGTAGAATAGGTTTTAAGAATTGTCCTAAAGGTTCCTCTGTCTCATGCTCAAAATGTAGCACCTTGCTTCTTTGCCTTCCTGTTTCCTAAGTTTTATTTCTTCTGAGTCTCCAATGAACCTCTGTCCTTAGTTTTGGCAGAAAAGCTACATTTTTATCTTCAGTCCAGTCTGCTTTCCATGTCTAACTCTGGTGGTTGATAATCCTCCACTTCTTATTACATACAGGGAGAGACTCGGGGACTTCCCGTAATGGCCACCAGGTATTTAGATATGTAGGGGGAAATAGCCACGTCAAAATATGCTTCTGTGAAAGATGGGAAGAAACAATATGAAATAAGAAAAAAGGAGCCAGGGAGAAGTGGCAGAGCAACAGAAAGGGTGGAAGGTCAGG